AATTAAATTTGCCCATCAATATATATTTAAATATGTTTATTATTTCATAAGAAAAAATATAATAAGTCTTACAAATTTATAATCCAAACCAAATGTTAAATACGCAACAACAGCTATTGTTGAATCATCCTTAAATACTCATACACAACAACAATGCTAATCATAAGGGTTTATGAGATAAAGAATAAGAGAAACAAACTTCTTCCTTAGTTTACTTGCACTTCTAGCTTCGACTTACTTGAACAAGTCTCCTCCCTTTTTGCATAACTTAATAAATTTGCTTCATGCTCAAAGGAAGAACATTGAAGAACTGATACAATGATATCACCTCACTTGTAGGGAATGTGCTGATGTGTTGTACTGTCATGTACTTCTTAGCAAGACCAAAGTCGATGATGTACTTAATTAATCCAATGATGTCTTCAAAGTAAAAGGTGAACACGTTTAATCATAAGCTTAACACAAAACCAAAAGAAGAAATAAGCTAATCTTTACTGAAACATAGACAAGCAAATGAAAGAAAAGTATCACATGAAAACAAAAAGGTTTACCATTTGATCTGCAAGCATGAGGACTGACTTCATGGAAAGTTTCCTGAATTGAACAAACTAACACAAAAGAATTTCACATCAGTTTTCATAAACCTTACATAAATGATGCATTATCAATACCAGAAAGAGTTGCTAAGAGATAAGCTTTACCATAAAATCAAAATCAAAAACGAAAGTTGTCCAAAAAATCGGGATGTAAGACATAAAACCCATGGATAATGAACGACACAAATCACAAATTAAAATAAAGAAACACTCAAATCTCCATCCTCACCTTCTTACAGGCCTAGATATGCTTACAGTGCACTGGTTCCTCTTGCTCCCTGTCAAAATCACACACCCATAGATGTTAAAACCAGTTACAACATGAACAGGAGAATAGCACAAACAAGAACTCACTCGCCATTGCTGTTAAACAAATGCTGAAACCAACAATGCCATGAATACATTCAAAGCTTATATGAATGACTAATCAAGAAACACGCAATAACACTAACTTAGAGATCAATGAGAAACCCAAGTTAGTTGTTGATAACAACCTCCAATAAGAGAATGATTGTAATGGCAATTAGTTTTAAAGTTTACAACCTCCAATAGAATATGTTGTTGCTTATGCTGATTGAAAAGCAGCTAGTGATGAGTCCATGACCGCCTCATTAGTGACTGATAAAGTTATAATGATGAGCAATGAAAAAGGCTTCAATAAACAACTGAGATGATTAGAGTTCTAGAAACATGAATTCAACCTGATCATACAAGTTTTCCCAATCTGTAGCTGCAATAGAGTTTTACTAGCTAGATTCATCAAATTCGTGTTGTAATTGTCAAACATACAACAATACACCATCAAGTATAAGCCATGAAAGAACCAGAAACATCGAAATGTCAAAACCAAATCTGGAAAGGTATGACAATTTCAAACTCATGCACAACAGTTGGACCAAAAGCTACTTTAAACCAAACCCTATTTTAATTCCCAATTCATCGATTAAGCATCAAATGGAGAGACAAATCGAGCTATCACCAAGTCGAATTGAAATGTGAAACTGGAAATATTTGTGGAAAGATCCGAAATCGAACCCGGGGCTTACAATCGGGAAACCGAGAGGATTGCGACGAGTGAGCTTCTCTTCCTCAGAGGCCATAGCCACAACGTGGAGATGATTCTTCGCTCGTCTAGCCATCCAAAGACGAGGAACAAATGAGCGAGGGAGATGAGAAAGTCTTGGTCGGAGATAGAAACCCTAGAACATCGAGCAACGGAGAAGGAATCAAGTTCGTAGAGCAAAGCGACGACATGGAGTAATTTTGTGCTCCTGATTCCAGTCTTTGATTTTTATCCTTTCATAATCGATTCTGCAAGCAAAATCACTAGATCCATTTACGAAAGAAAGGAGAGGAGATTTGGGAGTGTTTATTTTATGATTTATAGATTTTTTCTATGTCCAAATATAAACCCAAAAGATTTTAAAATAAATAAAACCAAAATATTTTAAAACCTACAAACAGTCATAGTAATACTAGGTTTACTACAAACAGAAAGATTGAAACATATAAAATACAAAGACATGCTTTTTTAAGAAATGTGCTATCATAATATTCTTATATTTGATAAATTATTATAACAAAATCTCAATAATTTCTCCATACAAATGCAAAAATGTATGTACATAATCTAAATTCTTCTCGATACATCCCAACAATCTCTCATCTGCTCTGTCTAAGCCTGTGTCTCTGCTCACAACTTCCAAGTACATTTCCCTTGCTTCCATATGTTTTTGTACACCTTAACCAAAGACAAAACCTTTTCAAGTCCAATTAGTATAAGGGTAGATTTGAATTTTTTTAGATCACCTGAGCAAATTCACATGTACTGGTAGTTTTTGAAATAAAAATATTTTGTTGGAATGTTATTTTGAGCATGAACCTGAAACACTTACCTATCGAAGACAAAATGAAGTTGTTCTTCTTTGTCTCAATCTTGAATCTGGGAGTTCCAGTACATGAAACCAATTAGCTAACTAGATACATGTATATCATCATTTGTATTTAAGTATGGCTATCAAGAGTAGTTCATGAAAGGTATTAAATTATAAAAAATATAATCCAAGGCATAACAACACGACGATCATGACATGAAAGAGACCCAATTTAGCTAACTAGCTATAGAAGAATACATACCTTGGCGAAGAAGTTGAAAATTGGTGGCACCACAAGCTCTATATCCTCATCTCTCTCCTTTCTTCACACAAATCTAGAACCAGAAGCTCTTCCCCTCCATCAAAATCTCCTCGTCCCTCACGATCAAGCTATAAATCATTACCCTCTCATTCTCGAATTCGGAATTCCGATTACTGCAAATCGTCTCGATGATTTCCCATGTTCAAGCTTCAAGCTTCGACGGGATGCCCAGTTTCGATGGAGCTTTCAATCAACGATGAATAGTTTTGCCATGTTTTCGGATTTGATTTGAACCGAAGCGAACATTAACGATCGACGAAATCCATAACTATTATTGATCACGCCCATAACGCCTCAAACAAATATTTGCGTGCGTGTGTTTGTCGGAACAAAATCTGTATATAAGTATTTGATTTGTATCTTTCTATGTATTATCGTATATATCAGATCATCTGATTTGGGTTCTCTCTTCTCATTGGTTCATTGTTCCTTTAATTTTTGATTGGTCAAGTTTTGGGATTATTTTAAAAAGATAAATTCTTTTAGTAAGGGTAAAATCGGGTTTGGCTATGTTATTAAAAACAAAAAAAATCAGCTGAAGGGCAAATTGAGAATTCACTCTTTCCTTCAACAAATAAATGTTTCGGATCAAAAAGGAGTGTTTGAGACATTTATCCGAGCCGTCCCCGCGCGTCCAGGTTTGGTGATGGGTCCAAGATTATTCTGACTCTAGACGAGACGAGCTAAAATAATTAAAGCCCATAAGTTGAAGCCCATTAAATGGTCTTCTATTGAACCACTAAACTATATGAACTTTCTAAATTTTGGTAACGGTGGATCGTTCATCACTGTTTTTATTTCTCATAGAAAATGGCTTATTGTTATTTATGTATATTAACAAAAATAATTTTATAAGAGATTTTTAACTTGGTACAAGGTAGAATATCCGGCGTAAATTAA